ATCATATTGATTATCTTTATAAGGGTCAGTAAGTATATAAACATGTGACGAGATGGGAAGATATCTGCATTAGCGGTCGGAGCGTATTTTTGGTAACGCCGGTGAAAATATTCATTTAATGCATGTATGACTTGAACTATGCTATTTCTGACGCTGAAAATATTATCTATCGAAAACCGAGTAAATCATCACTCTCGTTGCTAATACTTAAGGACGTGGGAAATCCAATTAAGTGTGGTGTCTTAGGGTGGCCGGCTCGACCGTGTGGCCAGCTCGGCCGTGGATTACGTTACGGGCTTTTTGGCATCGAAAAATAACCGTAGAACTGTCTATGTAGCGGTGTTCGAATAAAGCCTTTGCACGAAACCGTCCTTCTATCTCGCGGCAACAGGTGTTTTAGCGTTGTTGATGTGGCCCGTGCTACCTCATTGTCTAAGGCGCGCGTCCCTTATATTCAAAGGCAAAATCACCAGGGCCTTCTTGACTCCATTGCCGGCTACCCCGTAGAGAGGATGTTCTGCTTGACGGCTGCTCGCGGAGTCACCACTGATCATCTAGCCAGTCCCGCTTCCCTTTATATACATACCACTAATGCAATCAGTGACTCCTCACATTTTCAAACTCATACCAATATCCTTCGTTGAGATTCACTTAGCTGGCTCCATCTATGGTGGCCACTCTATCTTGACCATCAAAAATATGAATACAGAGTGGGAAACAGGACTCTCTAGACACCGCATTTTTACAATACCTGGCTTTTCGTCTATTTGCCTACAACTGCAGCGAGAAAAAGCGCTCGGTCTAACGCGTGAAAGTGGGTCTACACGAGGGGCCTTCCGAAGTGAACCAGTTATATTTTCATTGAGGCCTAGTCAAGCCCATCTATCAGCCCCCTGCCGATTGCTCTTCTGTATCATACATAACTTGGACCGCTTTAATTAGGATTTCTTTTTTCTGGAATGACCATATCGTAAGGCGACTTACAAAGCCATGTCTATCTAGGGACAGGCATTTCGACTGAGAAGGCTCGGTGATCACTGCATTCTAAGGGTCTTTCTTAGAATTGCTGTAGTGCTGTGACTATCGCGCTTGATTCTGACGGGGTCATGTCGTTCTTTGCATTTGGAGCCTCAAATTGTGTCTGGGTAGCAGAACGAAGCCGTTAGGCTATTACTGTATTTTGAAGGCTGTATAGAGAGTCATTGTCATCTTCATTGCTCCAAAAACGATCCTTGAGGTGGACTCTAGACGGGGTTCCTTATTCCATACCCGGAGAAAGCTATCTGAGATGACAGAGCCCAGGATACTGTAAGAGCCCAGCCACTAATGGGCGAGATGGCAAGTAAGTTACATTCGCGGCCGACCGCAGTCCCCATGCGAGGGCAATATCCCAGATACATTCCGGACATAGCGTCCATAGAAATAACCACGGTACCGGTTCTAGTTGCCCGTTGTACCGGAAACGTTCCACCATGTCCGAGAAAGCCAAGGAGGAAGTCAACTAAGTTCTGTCTATTTGGATTAACGTACAATAGCTACTCAGTTGGCGGAAATTTCTATAGCGTAAATTCTATCCATGCCGTGCTGTGCGAGTAGTGTGAGAAAGCACCAACCCGCATACCTCTCTCTCACATTACACAAGTGACGTGAAGCATAGACCTGAAACAGTGTGGGTGATCAAAGTTGTGACACAAGTTTTGGAGGCGTTGAATTTATCAATAGGCATTCGAACCTCGTGTTAATAGAGCTTACAAAGCTATCCTATTTACTAGCATCCTAGTGTGGTTGGGCTTAGGTAAATATAATACGCGGTGAAAAAGCGGCGAGGATCCTGACGGCAAACTGATACGAATGTGGTGATATTAATCCGAGGCTAAGAGTTGGTCAAGGGGCCGTCGTTGAAAGCAGAGGTTATGGTGACGGTAAAGTGAGTCAATTTCTCCTCGAAGAGATTGGTTTTGATTTTGTATTTTTTCGACATTGTCAATGGAGTTATTCTCCTGGAAGAGACGTATCGTTGGAGATTTTTGAATATCGTCCAGCCCTGTGACTTGGTCACAGTATTACACGTCAACGCATCCTTGCAAGGCATCCTAGAATCTTGGCCTACTAAGTAGTGCCATCAGGGCTTCTTGTTCTGCCACCGACATGATTGGCGGAGTTGGAGTAAGCAGAGCTAAGCTCCTCTTGCTTATATGTGAGGACTGTAACAAATAAGGCTTAGTTCGAGAGACTCCCAGATTCACCCCTTCTGAGCGAAGTTCGTAGACGCGGAAATGAAGTGTGGGTGTCGTGTCGTATGGCATATCTGAAGATGCGAGCCAAAATGTTCAAGGCTAGGAGAAGAAATGCAGATAAATCTTAGTGTGATTCTCAAGTGATTTCGAGGTCGAAGTGGCACACAGACTAAAATAGGTTCGAAGATATGAATAAGGCCAATGCGCATCATATTTCAAGCCCATTCCATATTTACCTAGCTAAAACCAAATTTGGTATGTGTACCTCAGCCGGCGTGTCCATTTTCCCTGACAGATGAGCCGTGCATTTTTGGGTCAAAAATATATCGGCAGTATAGTTGCTATTCTGATAAAACCCGACTGGGTCGCTGATAGACTACCTGCTCTCCTTACTAACGACGCACAAGCAAGCCCCAAATCGGCTATGTTGCCGTGGGTGATTCTTCCACCGCGTGATACGGGGTACGTGAGCGGTTTGCTGCAGCTATTTGAACCTTTTAGCGACTATGTCGGATTGAAATCACGGCCGGCTGTAGTAACATTTGCTGGCTGGGAAGACATCCAAATCAGTGGCCCTGGCATCTATACAGAAAGCAATCATGCTTTCGGAAAATCGATTATTTGTAACTTCTTGAAGCTATCTCAAAATAGTCCGACTCAACCTGCACCGTTTTATGCTAAACAGACCTTCCCCCGTGGACCCAGACCGGGCTACTAAACTGTTACACACTCTATCTCTCGAGTTCAGCGATGTTATTTGCATTAGGGCGCAGACCATCGCTGATGCTGTCCGTACTATGCTCGGCTTTCGGAACTGCGCCCGGCTGGACAGCATACAGGCAGGGCCTCAATTCATCATGCTGATCAAGATCTCTCCCCCGTATTAGAGATAGGAGAGGAACACATCCGGGAACAATTTCGGAGTCTTATTGTGGAAGAAGACCCCGGGTCACGGTGGATGTTGAGCGTGGTCCAGCGCATGATTGTGCATTCTTATCACCCCCTTATTAGATCTGTAGCAGAGATTTTGATAACCCTCAGGAGTTCAATCGTTACTATGAGAAAGAGACGAAAAGACAGAGGTCATCTTTGGACTTATGAAGAGATCATGTTTCTACTTGGGGAATACCTGACCCTGAAAACCTCATCCGCGCGAGAAGATCAGATACCCCCAATCCAGACGTTCAGAGCGCGCGGCACGTGGTTTCCGATGGCATTTAGAAGGCAGTTCTGGCCCGGTCAAGAGCTTTTGAAGCGCAACGGTCTAACAAAGTGGCTCAAGGCTATTCCAGGCAATATCGACCTTGAAAAGTTTGTGGCGCCGATCTTTGCAAGAATGTTCCTCGAAGACAGAACCATTTTACCACAAGGTACGTAATGTGATGCGTGAATAAAGCCGCCGCATACAGCTACTAAAACATGAGTGAGTCGTAGGATTTTCGAACGCCGAGCTCTTTGCAGCTATCTATGGGCCACTATGTAGAGACGCATGGCGTCTCGCTGCCCAGCGTGGAGGACTGGGCCCCTCGCCGGTCCCTGCAACGTTTTCTCGATGCGGTGGCGCTGAGGATGACCAGCTATAATTCAACGTTAGAAGGTGACGCCCAAAACGGCCTCCGTGAAGCTGGGGTGAGAGCCTTGTGTCCCTTGTGTCCCTGGGATATGGCGCCTTTTTATCTACTTTCCGTGTGGCCATGGGATTTGTGAGCGGGATGCATGGCGCTTCTCGGGAGCTGCCATTAATCACTCGTACTGCTCAACTTTGGCTCACTTCCGGGTCTGCCCTGTTTGTGGAGCTCCAGCTAATCTCAAGAAGCGTCTACGTGCGTTACAGGCTGGATTTCGGGTGGCAACAATCGACGGCGGCGGAACATATGGGTTCGTGCCACTCGTTGCCTTCCGCGAAATTGAAATTGAAGGCCTTCCCAAGGCACTATTGCCGCACCATTATTACGATTTAATCGCGTGCACGAGTAGTGGTGAGCAGGCCCACGATAACTTCCGAGTATACTAGTAGCTAACCCAGATACTGATACAGGGTCTATCACAGGCACTGCGTGGGGCATCAAGCAATGGTCTTTATCGTATTGTATCGACATGTTTCTTTCAACTGCTGAGCACGTATTCGCCAAAAGAGGGGTATCAGAGCTCGAGTGAAGAGAGTGGTGGCGTCTCTATCGAGTTGGAGCTCAGTACGATATTGACCAACTCTGTCAAGTCTTAAGAGACCAATTTGGGGACGTTACGTTGCGAGGGATGCCTCTCGACACTCAAGAGTGTTCCGTACGTGTAGCGATTCCGACCACAACATTTGATTCAAAACTTTGCCTGTACCGTTCTTACGGGGATTGTCTCTGCGAGGGGAAGTGTAGCGAGCATATTGCACGGGACCGGGAAGATCCCCTTTGTTGGCAAGCGTACGCCATTACTTGATCTCCTATTACGTGTTTCCCGTGTGACTAACTTTGCCTTTCATGATTTAGAATTGCAACCAGCTGCGCTGCTCCGCTGATGTTCGAACCCCCTAAACGAAAAGCTCGACGGTCTTTTTTGTCGCCAACAATCCGGCCTGGATTGCGATGATGGAAATTAATGACCTTTCCCTTCTAGTCACGCGAATGTTAGACTTCCATGTGAGTTTCGGAACGGGCCGATTGTTGGCCGCAGATCAGGGTGGTTCTCACAACTGGACGAAGTATCTTTTCCCAGAATGGATCCGGCGAGTGAAGTCTTGTGTCCGCGCCGCTGTGGACGCAGACGCTATGTATGAAAAAATTCTGGAACACCCTCGACAAGGCCGAACAAGATGGTAAGCATTATCGAATAGATCCTGAAATCGCCACGCAGTCACTTGCACCGGACGACCCTACCGCGCTCTCAGAGCTCGAGACAGAAACAATGCGGTATATGGGGCTTCCAGATACTAAAGCAAAGACGCGACGCCTAAGACTCGCGATGCTGGCATCTTGCTTCTTTTGCACTCTACTCTCTCTACCCCGGTACGACCCGGTTTTAGGTCAATACCGCGTCCGCCTCGCGATCCAGTCACGGTGGCCCGAAGATGATACGATTTCTCAGTCGCTCCACAGTACATTGGAGACAGCGTCTTTTGTCGTCGGTGGAATTGCATATCCTTACAAATCCCCTTTAGCTTGCCTAAACTACGTTGATAGTCTAGACGTATCTCTTCATATCACGCTTACTCTTGATGGGAAAGAATCGCATCCCATTAGCGGTTTCCCGTTGACACTAAAACAAATGATGTACTTGCAGCTCCCTTTGAGTACAATGCCAGCTACATCCCCTAAACGTGGTGGGCCTTGCTTAGTTAGCGGTCGTTTGAAGCGTCGGTGCCTGGAGTGGCCAGTGTTAGGTGAGCCAGGGAAGTCTGCTTGGGTAACTTAGGCGGCATCCCATATCCTACCTCCAGTATTGACGTTCACCTTCTCTCCTGTGATTTACCTTAGATGCCCCATGCCATTTTAGTTCCAGTGAGAGATTGATATGCGTCCCACCGCAACCGTTTCTGGCAACCGTGTCCCCTCGCACCCGCCCAAGATTGAGGTACTTTGGAGAACAACGCCGGAATAATCAACCAACTGCTCTCAATTCGAAATAAGATTATTATATCTTTATTGTACACTGTTCCGATTTTACCCACAACAATGTTGATCTGTTGGCATTTTTCGTCGCAAGTTGCCTTCCCTTCCCTATCAAGGTTTCTGTGGCAAATTATGCTAAGCTTCAATGGTACTCAGCCAACCATTTCTTAAGGTTGCAGTTCTTAAAAAAATTACTGCCGATCAAAATATAACAGAAATACACTATACACTGTTCACGCCCGAAATAATTCATAGTTTGTTCGCACATGAACTTCTTAGGGCAACTCACTGCCTGTACAGTCTATTACATACAAAGCGTAATGAACATGCAATGTAAGGAATTCTAATTTTAGAGATTCTTGGCCCCGTGCTTCTCAGGTCAATCGTGTTGCCCACCTCCAGAGCCAGTTTTACTTTTGCCTCACACCAAGCGCTCTGAGTTCTATTCATAACCGAGTATAAAGATCCAGTAACAACTGTACTCGCCCTTAACGAAAGGTCTCCGCAGCCTGAAAATTACTCCGCCCCATCGAAGCCTAACGGTATCTCAGTCTCTAGGTTAAGAGATCGTGGCCATGGTAGGATTTCTTAAAAGGAGCAAGCTGTAGACCAGCAATACCTCACTCCGCAGTAAGGAATGGAGTTGTTGGAAATTGTCCTACATTTATCGAAGAATGGTCACCCGCTCCTGGTCAACATTGCTATAGTTTCATACACTATAAAGGTATATTCGAGGCCTAATTGATGTCCAAACAAGAACAGACGTAAATTAAACATGAAAGAATCAGCAATCAGCTAAAAGAGGGGGTTACTTGGCAGAACTATGCACATCATCCCCGCAAGGACGAAGTGAGAAAACTTGTAATATCATAGGTCCGGTACTAACGTAGTTCTACAGATTAGAACCTGAAATCTGAATGGTCCGACTCCAGGTCCTAACCTATGTCGAGGCCTAGTCACAGATACTCGAGCAATTTTGCCTGTGCGAACTCCTCTGATCGGGATATCTTATTCGCAGACAGATCTAACGCCACTGGAAGGAGCGAGTGGGATCTGACTTGGTTTGAGAAGAATTTCCAGCCGCTTCCTCATTTGGGGAATGGGGATCTGAATAGCTAGTGGAAGAGGTTGGAGAAGACATTTCAGGTGGCCAGGAAAGGATATCATTCATGTCGTCCCGAGTCCGAGAGAAAAAAGCTTACAGAAATGCCCGACTTTGCTTTCATGACGAAAACATGGAAATGCTCTTTCAAACCCTAGTCACATGATACAGTAAAATAACACATTGTGTACCAGACTGTAATAATACCACTCCTGTTCATGATACTGTTAAGAAAGAGATAATAGTCTATAATTCAAAGCCTGGGTTGACCGGCTCGGCCGTGGATTGCGTTACCTGTACTTCTAGCTTCTGTCGCTAAAATGCCTTGTATTGGGAATACGACGACATGAGTCAATGCACTTGGCATTCTCCTGTTGGTTTGTGGGGTGCGGGATATATCCACCCCGATTTCCAAGCGAGTCTTGGCTGCCAAGCATACAGATCGATATAGAACGGACCCTCTCATAATCAAATCTGGATTCCCAGAGTGCATGTATCAATCAGCAGCTTGGTCGGCCTTCCCTCTCAAAGTCTCATTACAATGTCATCCGTTAGCGTCCTTGGTCTCGGGGCTACGGGAACAGCCCTGGCCGCTCGATTTCTCGAAGAGGAATACGAAGTCGCTGTATGGGATCGATCTCCAGAAAAAGCAGGCCCTTTGCTCGACAAGGGCGCAAATCTTGCCCAGACAGTGGTGGATGGAATCAAAACAAGCGATCTGATCATTATCTGCCTCCTCAACAACGCTGCTGTCCAAACAACCCTCGCCGGCGCCCTTGACCAACTCCAAGGCAAGACAATTGTCAATCTAACAAATGGAACACCTGACCAAGCCCGCAAGCTGTCAGACCTGGTCGTTGGCCACGGTGCTCGATACGTCCACGGCGGAATTATGGCTACTCCTTCTATGATTGGTTCACCTTGTGCTCTGATTCTGTACAGCGGGTCACAACAAGCATATAAGGCCGACGAACCCGATTTGTTGGTGCTAGCTAAGTGTATCTTCCTTAGTGAGGATGCGGGCGCTGCATCCCTGCATGACCTGGCTCTACTTAGCGGTATGTATGGTCTCTTCTCGGGCTTCCTGCATGCAACTGCGCTCGTGAGGTCGAGCACCCCCGCCGTTAAGTTCACGGACCTCTTGGTTCCTTGGCTGGGAGCAATGACCGAGTACACCAAAGGGATGGCAAAGCAGATTGACGAGGGAAAGTATGCCAGTGAGGGATCGAATATCGCTATACAATTAGTTGCTATCCAGAATATTATTGATGCCAGTGCGGCCCAGCAAGTCTCCGCTGATTTCATTCGTCCGATGAAGCAACTGATGGAGAAGGCAGTGACGGCTGGTCATAGCGGTGATGATATTTCTGCTTTGATTGATTTTGCGAAGGCATCATGACTTGATTTTGTATGTACTACTTCTTGCCCTTGCTGGAAAATTGGGACTGCCGAACAACCGCATGTTCTTGCGTATGTTAATAGAACGCTCTCTACACTTTGCCAGTTTGGTCAATTGTAATGTATTCAGGCTTTTCTTGCTGCTTATCATGTGTGCAATAATGTTACTCCTCCATGAATTCAGGTTTCGCGCCATTTTGCATCGCTTTAAGGGTTGATTATTTGCCGAGTGAGGATGTTTGAGCATACATAGTTTTGGATCGGCATTAATACACAACATTACAGGTCTCGTGCGTTTATATTCACCATCAAAACCGAAACATGATCCAAAGTACGGGAGTAATCATATCTGGATTGAATGGGATTAGTCTTAGTTTTGCTAGCCTAGTTAACCCGGTTTTAAATCGTACATGGGTTTGTATCGATATGTAGAGTGGTCCATTTTTAGAAGCTTTCAGCCACCGGGGGGGGGTTCCCAATTTTTGCGTGCCATATTTGGCCAATTTCTGAATGGGTGGCAACTAGGCTTTGGGTATAGACTTTTGAGTGGCTTCAACTATGTACTAAGTTTCCTCCCCTGCAGGCGAAGAGCCAGATTCACTTCACAGGTATCGTATATGTGAGGTACAGAAATAAGGTTGACTATCATTTTTGAGCTACACAGCGCAAGGATTCCATGCTACATTGGTAAGTCTGGAATAGGCGATGTAAAGAGCACGTGCATGGACTTGATTACGACTGAGATAATCATTCACATCAATTCTTTTATTTCCACCTGAAACTCAATTTTGGGAAGTAAGAAAACTTCAGTACGCACAAAAATGGCAGAAGAGAGCGATTCCAATTCTAGACCATGCCAGGTTTTGAAGCTGGATCTCTTCATTGAACAGCAATAAAACCCGTCAATGTAAACATGTCGACTGCACATTCAGTCAGTTCACACAACAGACTTTAGCATAGATGTACATCTTTTCACTTTTGTCTCTCTCTGGCTTGTCCAGAGAGTAACTGCCGACTCATTCTACGGGGGATATTCTCAGTCGACCAAGTACTGCGGAATCGTGAATGTTGGTAATGACAAGTCTAACCCTGGTATTTATTGCCAGTGCCTTTTCTCCGGCGAATACTTGGACTGCAACGCCGAATTTGAGAGCTTTCTTGTCAATGACCAGGGGCAGTTGAAATTTGGAGCTAAGTATGTACACTCTTGAATGTTGGGAATTTGAAAGAAACACTAACAAGTCATGCGTTAAGCGGCGCTGCACAACATTCCTGCCACGGCTGGAGTCTGTTTGACACTATACTCGCGGCAAACTGCAGCGGACCAACAATAACAATGGTGAACTTAGGTGGGTTCGCGTGATACCATTATTCCAGCTCTGTAAAGATTGCTGACTATACTCTAGATGAGATGTGCGGGACCGCAAACGGTAAGTTGATGTGTGGAGAACAGCAACATAGTCAAGGCTCGGCGACCTCATCTCTCGCTACTCCCACTGCTTCATCAGGGGGTTGAGTCGACGCCAGCCTCCACCTTTACTACAAGTCCAGCCCCGAAATCCACTTCTCCAGTGAATCTGGATGATCAGACAACCTCTGTGGTGCAGACTCCAATCTCATCCCCGAGTATCGATGACAGCCAGACCCCTCAGTCTACAACGATCAGTACAGAGCCTAGCGCGACCGCTTCCGCTGATACCACAAATACTTGTGGGTCAGTACAAAAGCGTACTCTACAGCAGATGAGAATTATGGGCCGCTGAGAGGCTGTTATGAAAGAGTGAGAATACTCATGATAACTGATCCAAGGGTGAAGGTAGCCGCCTCTGTGGAATGCATTTCAATACACTTTGTTTCTAGTGGTCTTCTTATATAGAAATGTTAAGATAAAGTCAGGTGTCCTCTTTTTCCCACTTCGGTTGAACGGTGTTGTAGGTAATTTGGGACATGGGCATTCGGATCTTTTTGACGTATTGTGCTCACTGAATATACAGTCCGGGTCTCCATGTTAGATCACGGCTGGGCGATACTTAGATTCCAAGAATGATCCTGCAGCTTAGGGCAAGAGTGGACAACAGGCTCTGCCGCTTGTCTAACCAAACCAAGCTACAATTGCCAGTATTACGTAGAGCCCGATGAGCAGGACACCCGCAAACCAATTAGATTTCCCGTGCGTAATTGCAAAGGTGACCAACAGAAAAGCCAAAAAAGCACGGTTACTTGGACCACATCAAAGTTAAGGGTCTGCAAGGAAGCAAGGTCAGCGCTGATCGAGACATTATATCACAAAAAGGTTTCTGAACCGGTTCAAGCTCAACCTACCATATCATCAACTCCAATGATCCATCCCAATATCACAATTAGCGGGAGAACCAGTAATGCGATCTGTATACTCGAGCCAACTGCCACACCTACTGCCAAATCCATTTTGTCTTTGCATGCGACCGTGACCGCCGTAGCATGCTCCGCCGCATTACCAACAATTGGCAACAAGATCAGACCGACAAAGGTCTCACTGACGTGCCCGGTCGCGGTGAGCGCGTCAATCGAGTCAACCATGAATTCGGCACACAAGGCCACCAGAACCGTCGAAGCAACTAGCGTCCCCATGGCGACTTCAACCAACAACTGTGGCTGCTCCGGCTCATATTGTGTGTACTGCACGTTGATATGTTGAGCCTGTGAGCCGCCCAGGGCTCTGGCCATGGCAGCTCCAATCTCTGCGATGCCAACCCCAGCCTCGCCGGCTTTTCTACTGCGCTTCTCAACCTTCTTCGACGGCTCGTTGAACAGGTCTGCATGGGATTTAAGTTGAAAGAAGAGATAAACGGGGTAAACGATGAGAAGGAGGAGAGATATTCCTGGAATGTGAACATCAGCACTCCGGCTTCAAAAACTGAGGCTTGGTCATGTAGTCATAAGAACATACCTCGCGACACAGAAGATGTCGTCAAAATTTAAAAATGTGTCACAGAAGATGTTTTGCGTGGTCGGCATTCGACCGCGAATACAGTGCGGTAGGAACCATTACACTGGCCATAGCCAACGCCAACAGACAAATTGCTGTCTGCGCAACGACGAGGTTGAAATGCTGCTCAACGCGATTCATACCGCCAAAGAAGAAACACATGCCCATTACCAGCAACAAATTTGACAGCATGCTCCCAATCAACGAGGTCTGTACGATGACGACTTTGTGCTTGACCAATGCAAGGATGGCGACTATCAATTCGACCGCATTACCGAACGATGCATTCAGCAACCCACCAATCAACTCACCGTATCGCATAGCAATTTCCTCGGTCGCATAACTCAGCATTGCAGCAAGCGGGATGATTGCAATAAAGTTAGTCACGAAGATCACGATCGGATTCGCTTTTGTCGCGTGTAGCGCGATACCCACAGGTGCTGCGACAAGGAGAACATTAATCCAAGAATTGAACAGTGTCGCGCGGATTTGACTCCCAAAAGAGAATTTGGGGCCATCAAGGTCCTTCCCATCGCCAACCCCCGATGACTGAACTACTTCACCGGCAGATCCCAAAATTCCATCGAAATCTCCATGTCGCCGGCGTTGGATCTCAGCGTCCTGGGTTATCTCAGCGTCCTGGGTTATCTCACCCTCTGCCTGCGCTATGGAGACGTCCGTCTCGCAGTTGATGGATGTTTTGAGAGAAGTTCTCCCTGCCTTCAAGCTGCCAGTCCCCTCGGCTGGAAATGTGTATGCATGGGCGGGTCTCGGAAAGTCACCATCCAAGCCGGCTTGCTGAGTAGGCTCATCTGGGAGGCGGAGGTCGCCCATGCTCCATGAGTGCGGGAATTGCTCTCCTAGTTCGACGGAGATGATGGGGCGTGGTACGTTTCTCTTGAAGGGATTATATGTGGAAGGTTTGCCATCCTGGCCGTACCATGCCAGTTTGTGTGCCTGGCGGAGATAGCGGTCTATGGATATTTGTCAGTTTGGAGGACGACAATGTGGGCCCAATATTCGAAATAAGGGTAGCATCCAGCGAGTGGAAAGAAAACAAAACAGCGTGGGACGTACGCATTTTGATAGATTTAGGGTAGAGTTATCTTCTAGATTGAACAAGAAAATGAGCTTCCGGATACCTGAGATGGCTATCGGAATCTAATGTGATCACAATTGAGTATCAAAGAGTGAACGTAGGCACTATAGATTTATAGAACATCCTTGAAGCCATAGGCAGTTGATAAGTGAGGCAGATCCTCCTCGTTGATTCAGCCTTGACAGCCATATACTTGTGAGAGTTTCAAAGCCGTCCAGCCACACTACCTTGCAAGGCAGACGTGAGTGGGGAGGGCTGAGTCGAACTGCAGATGCTGCAGCGCGAATCGCGTAGGTCAGGCAGATAGGTGGCGGTCGTAAGCCAGGCTATAGTCCAAGGCAGACAGTGGGGGTCAGGGAGTGGGTGCCTGTCCGGTTTCTTAGTCCAGTTCAGCAGTCCTGATCTAACCGAAAACCGTGCAGAAAAGGAAGCGGTGCAAGCGGGGAGGGGTCTCAGCCAAGAGGAGGGTAGCCGGGCGTAGTAGTGCTTTCATTTCAGAGAATGGTGCCTCTTTCATGCCCTTGAGGACAGCCCTTCAACTCAGATCACTCCCTGCTCAGATTTCAGTCTTACATTTGCCGTGTTCATCAACAAAGAGTCGGTAGGCACAAGCACTATCACTCTTCACCAGCAACCTGAATCATATGTATTGTGATCAGATGGCCTAACAGCTGAGAATATTTCCGTTGTTCGTTGCCTATCTTGATTTCCTCAAACAGTTCCAGTTTCGGTTATGTGGTCTTAAACCATCGAGTGGAAATGCAAACAACACGCCGACATCGGGTCCATTCTGACAGCTTATACTCGTTGTGTAAGTTATCGGCCTCGTCCTATGGCCTTTGGGCACACAGCCCCAAAAATAGATGGTCTGGAGACTAAGATAGTGGCGCAAGCAAAAGCCCCCCTCTTTCTTCAGGCCAGGTAGGGGCACGCAAACTGCCTAGGAAGAAAAATATAGAGATCACATCTGGATTCACATTCAATCCTTCGTCGTTACTGACTTTCTCATTTCTAAGAGCTACAAATGCCATCAAACTAAAGACCGGCGTGTTTCAGAGATACTGAAACAAAAGGTCTTTGCCGAAATTTGACAAAGATGTCCACTGAAAATCTACAGCCACCACATGCGCAAGCCTATCCAACCAAGCCATGGTTGACCTAGCAAGAGTCTAGGAAGCAAAATGGATTATTGAAGTATAAGTCGTAGGCCGCGAGTGAGTAGCCATCAGCAAAAGTTTACAAGGATGACGATGGGCAGCAGAGCACGTGCAGTGGCACATACACAGGACAGGCAACAAGAACCTGACTGGGTTCGGGACGAGACAGATCGTACCACGAGCAAAGAAACATAGAGCACTGGTTTTACATTGAAAGGATACTGTAGCAGTGGTGAAGTCAGTCTAGGAATCCAGGAACCAAGGAGTAAAAGCATAATTGATTCTCCGAAGGCCTTTTTCATATATTGATAATCTAATTCCGACTGGCTCATTCTCTTCACTCTATCTAGCATAACAACCAAAAATACTGGCCGCTCTCTCCTGCCGATAATTAGCCAGGGTCAATGACTGGCATGACATTGTGACTCGCCCTTCCCGAGTTCCAATTCACCAAGCTTGGTCATTTGTTGATCAGATCAGGCTCAATGCTTGATGTACTACAGCAGAGTCGTTTCAAATCGTTTCACACTGAGGCTGAGGTGATTGAGTTTGCAGCCGCTTGGTTCCCCAGTGCGGAGATGGCCCATCGCTTTGTAAAGCCAGATGCTACCGCGATTTCCCTTCGTCGACGGTACGTTCTCAAGAAAGGCCTTGTGTTGAAGGGACTCCGCACAATGGCACCAGCTTGAGTGCTCAACCTTGGAGCTTGCTGTGCTGGAGGATCAAAAAAACTCCTCCAGGAAATCATTAAGGGTCTTGCGGAAATCGCGAGACTCTTTGAATTGCGGAACATAGTGGACACCAGAAAACTCAAAAATTCGCGCAAACTGACAGTGTTTGGCAAGACTATGTGAGTCCTCCGCTGTAATGACCGGGTCGTAGGATCCAATCGCTAATAATATTGGCGTACGGATCGTAGGTTCATAGAACTTGTCATAAATAGGTCCTAGCCGGAATCCGCTGAGACAAATCGCGAAACGAAGTGCCGAATGCTCTGTCTGTTTTGAGATTTTTCATAAGTGTGCTGCCATCCACCATTGAAGACCGACAAGGGAAGGTAAACATACAACCCATGGCTGATCGTTGAACATGCTTCTCTTCTCAAGATGCGATGCAATAATAGCGGCCATTGCAGCTCCGGATGAGAACCCAACAATGCCTACAAATGGACCTTTTTGGTGTAAAGTCGCAAGGATATGCTGAGTGGACAGCTCGATGTTTGTAATCTCACCGTCACTCGGATCCCCATACCCCCATACCCACTTCTCGTGACCATCAGGTTGATCAGGGCGCGCAGGCAATATTCCCGACAGATATTTGAATTCGAATACGACTTCATTCTCTTGCGCAAAGGAATGGAATGCCGCTTCAATATACCTAGCCTTGGGCTTAAATATTTGTTCCGATTGGTCATGCCCTAGTCCATGGTCAGTCACTACTCAGTCCCTTGGACCGCCTCGAACCAAGTAATCCTCTCACTGACCATGCAACATCAGGATTTTCATCACTTGATCAGGCATACTGATGAAGAAACTGGAAGGCGATATATTCAAAACTGGGTAATGAGGGAACTCCGGTGGCCGAGATTATAAGGCGTTCTCCAGTCACCTACGATGATCAAAGTGATTCTGGTTTGCCTTTAAATATATTTATGTGGCTGCTCGGCTACTAGGTGCCCACTGGAGGGACTAGACAGAATTATTTAATGAATATTCAGAGTGATTCCCGAGCAGACAATAAAGTGGGTCAGTGAGAATTGCAACGCTGCGCTCTGGGTCTTCTGGATCATATCGATTGTGATTACTTTATGAGATGCAAAGGGTGATCGAAGTCTGGTTCGGGATTTAACTACGACAAATTGTCAAGTTTAGGTAACTATACTTTCTGTAAGATGTCACGGACTCAATCAGCAATTACTCTACACAGAAAGATACTGCTGTACTATAAAGATACGTTGGTATCGTCTACAAGAAGTTCCACTCTCTGCTTTGAAGCTCGAATGCAGCCGGCTGTGTGGAACAGTCTGTGTGGGTATAGGCTCATCAAAGTTTATGCGTCGAAGTCTTCCTCAGAATGTATGTATTATTCTCGTTTTATTTATCATAGAATGAGAATCCTCTTTGCTCCAACTTTTGCATAGCTGATGCATACCGTGTTGAAGGCTAGAGAGATCGCAACTTGGGGCAACAATTGGGACTCTCATTCAGCGGATGCCTCATCGCTTGCCCAGGTAGGAATAAGATTATTTCTCTTGAGGGAAAAAGCCCCGTTCTTTCGAAACAACGCGTGGGTTTACCCTAGCATGTTAAAAAATCCCGGCAAGTAGCCCTTGACGTAGAGATGAGATAAATGCATTCTTCCAAAACATTGTTAATTCACTGCCACACATTCCTTTATGAACAAGCTGACGAAGTTGTGGTGGCTGAAACTGTAGAACGGACTATACTTGTCCCCTGGTTTAGAGCAGAAGGTGAGTGCCTGGGTGGCTGACTTGAAGTGGAGACTGGAATCGGGGACGGAAGGACGCCTTCGAAGCTGAGCAACGTCTCGTCAAGTATTTCAAATTCGATATGGGTATAACCATCATGACAAGCTTCATTGCCTGTGATCTGATCATGAGCCCATTTACTAAGGTCAACACCTGAAGTGCCGTTGGGGTTCCATGTGTCTCCCGAAGTAGAGCCGACACTGCACCGTTCACAACCATCTGCGATAAAAAGGCCGAGATCGAACCTTCTACCGTTTTTGTAGATTATGACCCTTTTACCGCAGTAACGGGATGGGTTGGCCCGCAGCTGAGTAACGTTCATCGCGACGATATGATTAGTTGCCAGATCGTTCAGGGTTAGTAACGGATTGCTACAGGTGACCCCGCCTTTGTTTTGGTTCTCGAAAGAGGTATCACAAGCCCTTACATTCTCAACGTCATAATAGTACGTAGCGAAACCGGGTCGTTTTGCTAGGATAATATCAGATCCAGCAGAAGCCTCCGTTACCACTAGAATGCCTACGATGGCAATAAGAAAAATCCCCATCACAATAAGATATCAGTTGTTACCTCGGTCGTCTTAGATGGTAGATTATGAGTTAATGACAAGCACCAAGACCTGGAGTACTGATAATTGCAAGATTTCACAATAGATGCAAGGGCTCAATTTGAATGTGAAGTTGGCAGACCCAATTATGTCCAGTGAACGAATTTTGTCAGGCTTGTGCCGCCCGTTATTAGCTTTGATATCTGAAAATAGGTATACTCTTTTAAACCCCAATGACAGGACGAAAGCGGTTGACCAAGACCCTAAGTTCCGAAGAAATGACGCGTCCAGATTCGGCTCTGCTTCCATTGACGCTTAAGACTCTTTCAGCTACCGAATTCTTATGAATGATAGAACACTACCACAACTCTTTGTTTTCTCAGGAAAAGCCAGCCGAGGGCTCTGTATCTCCCTCCAATTGGATAAAATTCTGTTCAAATACACGACGACTACGGTACCAAGTTATACTGTAGGGATGAAAACAATCAGTTTCCAAGTCTCGGAAATGACCGCTCGTCCCGCTATATTGTTCTTGTTCCTTCTGGTTCCAAACCAACAATCTGTGTTGCCGTCTTTTACTAGGCTTGAAAGCTGATATCATGCATTCGTTGGGCAAGCGTTGATTCTATCTCATCGCAATGTAATGCCGAACAATGCTTTCAACAAAAGAAATTAGAAGAACAAAAAAAAAGTATCACGGAGACTCGTCTACATAGGTGATCAAACTGTCTTCATGTTGTTTCTAAGCTGAGTAACGTGTGATGTGCCGGATCGCCTTACAGATACCTGCAACACATATGGAGATAGATTCATCAAATGGAATTATTATCATATGGAAATATGTGTGTATTATCCTCTGCCTCTCCAGTTGAATGCTATGAATTCCCAAGTCAATAATACATCGGGTTGATCAAGAGGTGGCTGCGCAAATAGCCATCAACCGGAATAGAGGATAAACTGCGGAACAAGAATCATTTTTAGCTCCAGGGTTACAGTGTCAATAATGTCTAATCTTAGAAGGCTAACAACTTCAGGCAGTTGTATTGACCGAAGTACTGACATTGATATTCACTTTGCTTCGTGAAAGTCTTGTCTCTGAGGTTTGATTCTGAATACTTCAGGCGATCTGGCTCGTGCATCTGTTACGACAGGTGTTACCACAGATTGTCACAGCTTTGTCACGATCACTACCGTAATGTAATTAGGTGTTGCAGAAATACTTTACTTCTGGAGTCCAAATTTGGCTTTCCTGTCTTTACTTAGTGACACTTTTGAATTCGTTATCTCACGTTACGGCACGGCCTCCGCTGATGATCCTTCCCAATGTACAGTACTAACGTGCGTCCCACCGCAACCGTGTCCCCTCGTACCCGCTCGGGATTGAGGTACTTTTGAAACCAATGCCAGAGAAATTGAGCAACTGATGGCAGATCATTCAGCTTGATTTAAAATAAAGATTTAATATCTCCATTATAGACTGTTCAATTTTCACCCAAAATTACGTTGATCTTTTGGCGTATTTCATCGCAAATAAACTTCTGTGTGCTAACAAGGTTTCTGTGGCAAACTGTGCTCATGCTTCCATGGTAACCCAAGCAGCTGTTGTTTAGGCTTAATTAGGAGCTAATTATGAGTAATCAGATCCACCGATCAATAACTTACTAGACTTAATATACTCTAGTACAGGTTGTCACACGATCTGAAGCATAATTTTACTCTTTGTTGGCACAAGAAATTTTCAAGGTACCTGGTCTGCTTATTAAGCACGGTTTACTTTTGCAGTCACGGGTAACAGGACGGTAAAATAGGGGAAAAATGGCGGTCAGAAAATGACCGCCCGCTAGCCTGGGCTAAATCCCCAGTCTCAGGCAAATCTCAGTCTCGAGACTGAGAAATTACCGTTTACGGTTAGTTGGTCATGTGATATGACAACGCATAGGTGCAACTGCGTGTTGCTGCGACTATTATAAATACGTAGGGGGGATTTCCAAGGGGTGGGTTCCTTTGGAAAAATTCTGAAGACAAGTTATGGGTTCGTCCAGAAGCCATAGTTCTACATCACGCCAGTGGGCGTGATGAGACTACGATTGATCACAATGCGGCGTATGAACGCATTGTGGGCAGAGCAAGATTATGAACTTTTTTAAGGAAACGTCTTTCGGAGATGGTTGAAAAATTGGCGTCTTATATGACGTCGATGAGTTTTTTAAGGATTCATTCCTGAGCCTCGTGACAATGGAAAAGAGTTTACGGTCGGTTGTATCGAATTGTTTCGGTTGCGTTTGCGCAGGCGCGAAGTAAGTTTGTTGATTATCTGTTGGATGATTATTCTAATGGTCTACAGTATGCCGATGGCGGCGAGTGAGAAGTGTAGCGGAGTCGGAGAGGACTGAGTCTGAGAAGAAGTTTTACAGGCAACTTGTGTCTAAGTTTGGATGTGAGGCCGATGTTTTGGAAGGTATTTCCAAAGGTCTTGATTTACTAGAGACGCACGGTTACACGTGGTAGGGCATTTTTTGGAGATTTTGTGTGTTATGGGTTGGTAAAACAGGGAAAGGGGGAAGCTCGCTCTGGAAGTAACACGACTGACCCCGACAAGCACGTGGCCAGGATATCTCTCCCACAACACGTGGCCAGATATCATTCCTTACATTACCCGCTTTGTGCCAGTATTTTATTTAATGGGTTATACAAAAAAAATCTTAATAAACAGAAGGGTACCCCAAGAACCCCAGGTGTTGATCAATCAATAAAATTTTTCATATGCGGACAATGTAAAGTGTATGTAGATAGTGATCGGAGGAATCAGATTACCAAGATTTATATGTTCATTTTCGTGAACAGCGGTAGGTTGGGGACCATGGAAGCTTAGCACAATTTGCCACGTAAACCTTGTTAGCGAAGGGAACGAAATTTGCAGTGAAATAATCCAACAGATCAACGTAATTTTGAATGAAACTTGAACCGATGTTTATTGAAGGTTATGGAATCTTATTTACAACTGAGCTTAAATGTCTCACAGAAGCTGGTCGACTATGCCGGCGTTGTGTAGCGAAGTACCTCAATCTTGAGCGGGTTCGAGGGGACACGGCTGCGGGGATGCACGTTACGTCTCCAAAGCGTGGTGTCGCGAGTTTGTCTTCGACTCGCACCAACTACCTGGCATCTGGCGTGGCCAATGCGCTTAACAGGGCTTTACGGACTTGACAGTTCGGGGGGTGTAGTCGGTGGGAAAGGAACCGCTTCCAAGGTGCTGGCTCCTGCCTCCCAGCTGGGGCCGCGGGGGGGGGTGGGGGCTTAAGTGAGGAACTGATGGAGAATCATCCACCGCAAAACCGCACTCTTCAATGCCGAGCTACAGGGGGTCAAACACGAGCAGAAGCAGAATCTCCACAAGAAATCAAACCCTTTAGAGCACACCAGCGCCGTCAACGGATCGTGGGTGGTGGTCGCACCCAACCTGGCCAACCCAAACCCATTGCACAGCCACTATTGCGCCGATGACACGAAAATTATAGCCTGTGCAGACACAGATAATAATTGAATAATAATAATAGAAATTACTCTAGTTACGAGCCTCGGATGCGAGTGAGCTGGACCAAAGGGTTGGAGGCTGCAGCCTTAGCCCAAGACTTCCCATTCTTTATTTTCCTGCTCTTCAGGTTACTTGGCTTCGCCAGAGTTTGTTGGTCGTGCCTCGACATTCTGCAGGACATTGAACAATATATCTTTCCTTCTCTTCCTGCTGCCACAAGAATACTCCGACCGATTTGCTCATACCGCACATCGGAAATGGGCTTGGTCTATATCTTGACCTTTTTGGTCATTCTTATCGTTTCCCTATACTCTACATGAATCAACATATCATTTCGAACGTGTGGTTGCGAGGGCTATCTTGCCAGATTGTTTCGGAGCTCGATGGTCGCCACGTCCACATCTTTGGGATCTCGACATGAACAAAGAGCGGCAACCAATCCTCCTCACTTTAAAATCCCCCTTTTCATCATTCAAAGTCTACTATCTACCTCCATTAGTGGCATCCGACCGTCACCAAGTGATTGTGGGATTCCCAGGAAACAAGAACAATGTCGGAGCATTAATGGAAAGTTTCTGGTCTTACCATGGAGATGAAGTTCACATGATACTGGTCAACACTCCCGGTTATGGGAGTTTCGATGAAGACCGCTCAGAGCCAATGACCGACAAGCACCACCGTCTCTTAGAGCCATGGCTGAGGGGCCATTGTTCAAACTTTGCAACGAGAATTGTTGAGTCCATCTGAGATTCAATGGGCCGAATTTGACCCTCGTGCAGTCATAAAAGAAAACGGTCAGATCCAAATCAAGTCACTCAGAATAGGAGATCTTCCAAAGTCCTTCAATGATTTCGACATTGCGCCGGTAGGCAGATCTTTCGGCGTTTTTGCGGCCTCTATAACGCGCCCACGGGGAGGACTGATTGGCTATACGCCTTTCCAAGGAATTGCAAAGCTGGACTTGGCTGGATGGTGGGGGATCCTTTGGCGCTGGGCTAGACATCGCAATCCGTTTCCAAATTGCGGCAAGCGCGTCATTCTTGATGACCCATCGATCAAACTCACCGATGAGCAACGTCGTTTTATTGAAGATTATGACGGGGAAGTGTTCACGGGATTGATGTCAGAGCTGGTCCCAGACCCTACCAAAGGTGAAGCTTCCCTACTGATCGTTGCGACCAAAGAGAATGTCGTTGGTTCGGTCGAGATGTCTATTCGCAAGGCTCCGGGTGTTACGGTAATCGAACGCAAAGGAAATCACCGCCTTCGAGCAGATAAGGATTACCGGGAATCAGTGAAAAAGTATCTCACCGAGAGCTGGAAAGCTCACCAGGAACGATGGACGAGGCGCATGCCGCCGGTGGAGGTTTGCGGCGATGATCAGTCTCAATGGTCTCCTTTCATCATCCCCTCTTGTCAGCCCCCTCGTCTTGATCGTCACGAGCTTTGTCTTTGTTTTTTTATTATTTTTCCTTCGTTTATCGTTTGTCGGGAATCTTTGTACTCTATTCATTTCGATAGTAGCTCAACTGCAACTGCTTAGGTGGTTAGGCTCCACGGTGCTCATTCAGTCCACAATAATCCTTTAATCAGACCGCTAATGCATTTTACAGTGTCATTCCTGCCGCGTTCTAGAGCTAGAAGAATAGAACAACCTATTTTCAAAATCTTAAACATCTATTGAAAGTGTACGGTACCGGCTGTTGAATAATGATCTGGATCTCGACCGCGCTATCTGGAAAGGGTCTGATATTGATATCAGCGTCCGATGACAGGGTGGACGGATGGACGGATAACCCATTTACCCACACACCTCGCGGAAGCGTTAGTTCGATCGACTGCCTCAGCATGCGCAATCGATGAAGACGGATTTTCGATTCATCTTCACCGCCAAGATCATTGTAAAGCCTGACATCACTAACGACAAAAGTGGCATCTGAAATCATCTGGGGCTCCTGCTGCAACCATTACTCAACTTTTATTACCGCAGCGATTCTCCGTGGTCTTCGACGACTCGGTTGTAAAGATCTCTGGTACTTTGCAAGGAATCCTCTGGAGTTTTGGCCATTTCCGCTACCTGTGTGATCATTTGCTATCAAGGATCTTTGTACACTCCCTGCGATGCTGGAGCGAGAAATGATTCCTTTCCAGCAGTGTTATTCTATCCTGGTTGACGGATGTTTGCGCCGCCACCCCTGAACAACTCGATGTATTATGAACCCAACCTCTGTGAACCGATTAAATATTCATGATCTAAGAGGCACTCTACTTACCGATAGTCAAGTTCAAATCGGAATCGCAGTCTACGAAATGCGTATTCATAGCCTAAGGGCCTGAGATAGTTGCGGGGTGGCGGCCGCAGAGGTAGTCTGTAATCTCACTCTATTTAACGCAACATCCAGTTCGATAGCTTCATCACGATATAAATTGATAATAATTGGACGCTTTTCTGAGAGGCATACAGAAATCCTTATTGGGTATTATGCAAGCTGTTAAATGCCATTGGGTGCGGACTGTCCCCCACAATCCTACTTCAAAACTATAAAGAGAGATGATTTCTACAAGTCGTGCTATCGGGACCATCTCTTTAAACCTTTTATTGCTTGCGACCTGTCCCTTCTCTGCTGCTCTTCAGCCTGTTCCGAATTTTGACTTCCTAGCCTCTCAGAATTCATATTTTCTCTACCTGTCCCCAGACACTAGTTTTCTGCACATCCTCATCAATTTACGAAGTTCACTCTCATAAAGCCGGACCCACGACCAGAATCTGTGAGTTCTCACCAATACGAGTGGTACCACTAATTTCCTCCTTGTATGACTGACACGAGTAAGCATCATGGTTCCAGAAACGACACCTGATGCCACGCACCGTGTTGTGGAGGCCGAGAGAATTACCGATAGGCTTCAGCGGCTTTACAAATGGTTCTTTTTTCTCGCAGCTCTTCTGGGTGTTCTGGCCGTAAATGCCTTGACATTTCCTGAGTTTCATCCGGCCCAAAACGCGCCGGCTCAACTATCCCACGGGCTTCTGTGTAGCGCGCTTGTGACAAGCATCATATCAGTGGTTATCCTGTTGATGCTGCTTTTTGAATTTGATGAGACGGCATCTCCTCCACGAAGCGGACTCCATGTTGCAAGTGTATGGACCCCGGTGGTCCTCTTGGACATGGCTTGCGTCGAGCTTTTGGTTGGTATAGCTTCCTGGTACTGTAGTAGTAGCCCGCGGTGGGCTGGAGAGATGCTTGCAGGATATTTGGTTGTGTTGCTTTGCGTCTGTATTGCTCTTTCTCTGTCAATTGCGTGCAATTGGTCCGTGATGAACAAAACTTATGTCCGTAAAGGAGACTGAGAGGCATCTACTAAGAGATCCTTGAACTCGACGCTTGTGGAATGCAGACCGTCGCAGGAAATTATCATTCACAAAAGGATGTATAGGAATGTGAATATGACTCAAATCAGGAAACATGCGTGCAAAATACATTCGCCCTTATACCGTTCTTTGCTAATTCCACCTTCGAAATATTTGCCTATCTGTTTTCGATAAGTTGTATTTAGAGACGTAAACTTAGCTCTCTTATTTTCATCCTTTTACCAGATATGCCAGCTGGACACCTTTCTCATGGGCGGTTTGAACGACTACGGGGCAGTAAACAAGCCACTTCATGAACAGCTGGCGTTGTTCCAAGGTCTAGAACATCAGCAAAAGAGGCTCCATTGATTCGTGCAATGTAGAATGGCCGTAATGATATAGTCAAACTACTCCTCGGAGCAAGTGAAGTCAAATTAGACTCTTTACATTGACTTGATGGAAAGAAGCCGTTATGTCTACCAGCGCATAGAACGCATGATGAGGTAGTGAAGTGGCTGACCGTGACTGATGGCATTAATATGTCCGCCAGGAATCTTCAGGGACAGACACCGCTGTCTCTAGCTACTGGGAATGATCAAGAGGACATGGTAGGGCATGGGCTCACATTAGATCTTCCATGAAATCAAATGGATTTCACAGCTTTTCGAACACTACTACGGATTTGGAATGGGGTTCGTCATACAAAAAGCCAGGTCCCTACATCTGTATTCTAAGTCTACCGATGGGGATAAAAAAGGTATAGGGGTGAGGTGGGCAGTGCCACCATACACATTTCTTGAATCAGGCAGCATCCAGGGTCATTCTTGGCTTATCAATTAGCTTAAAACTTCATATAAATGAGGATATTGATAGGGAGAAATCATTCAGCCAATAAATAAACTCCGTGACTATGGCTTCCGAAGTGGATTCGAGAAGAGGAGCGAATTTCACAGTAACTATTTACAGTAAAATCCATCAAACATTCCTGCGCTTAGAAGATCAGGTACCACAAACTTCGCGGTCGAAGTTCCTACGACGAAAGGCGCCTCTATTTCGTTAGATTACCGAAAGCTTTACGACACTCTTGGCTACTAGGCATAAATGTTGTACCAGTAGATATTGGCCAATCTACAAATCCGAGTGCTGACGAACGGAAGGCGTTTATCGCAGCAAACATTATCGGTCTCCTCGAAAGTACACCGGATATAAAGCTTGCTATACTGTTTGGAGAATTTCACCTAACAGGATTGCCCTTCAAGTTTCCTTCTCGTCGTTAAATTTATAATCGACTATACTAACGTATACATTCCGGCATCATGAGCGGAATACCGAGTAGTTGGACACCTATGACACATCGTAGGTGCAATACAGTACCACTTAACATCTCAACAACCAAAACACATCATAACGAGATATTAAGATATATAATCAAGATCGTATTCCCCATCTACTGGCGAATGGCATGACAATGCAATGCTTTCTGGCACGTTAGTGAATCCTGACTATGAACTGGCTCTAAGCAATATCAGCAAAAAAGCTGGTCTGGTTGACTCGCTTCGCAATATCGATAGTAGCGTCTGCGTAGTTCACGTGCTCTGCGGTCTCTGTGCGTCTAGCGATGTCAATCGAGGTCGTGGCGTCCTCAGCACGAAGAACCAGCCGCACCGCCAAAACAGCTAAGCCGAAGCTGAAATGAGAGCGCGTAGCAGCATTGTAGTCTTCAGCACGTTGACCACAGGAACCCCTATTTGATCAGAAATGTGTCACTTATAGCGCATCACTCCAAGTCTGTCCAAAGCAAGACAACTTGTCACCTTTGAACGATATAACTCTCTCTGTTTCAGCAGTCAGCACAACCCGAAAATTGTGTCCCAGTGGGATAAATTGGCGATATAGAGACCATACATACCCATATCGGTTGATGTCAGCTGATTATTAGGTTTGCAAGTTGCTTGAAGCATTGGCGGCCGGGGGGCGGCTTCGCCCATGTCGCACGAGCCCTTAATCCCGTCACGATTGGATAGGAACCCACCACTATGTAGGATCGGTTAGAACACTAGGCAGCCAGTGATAGATTCGTTCATTGCATACTTCACGCGCGGGGTCAACTGTCCATTATCATTTGCGAAGCAGTGAGTCAGATGAATGTAGGCTTGCTGCTGTTTACTACCATCGCAATAGCAGGACATTCCCCCATCATTACTAACCGTACACAGGTTCCAATCAAGCTGGCAGTCGGACTGGGTTATGGTGGGGCCAGCCCGGGAGAACAATACGTTTATAGCGAGCAAAGTGATAAAGATCAAGCACATCTTTAATGTTACCGTACCGTTGCAGCAAACAGCTAATCGACTGACAATGGGTAAGTTTAGGGTGATGGGGTGTGGAGGCAAGAGATGCTTATATAGGTTGCACTGTATGCTTGTTTCGTGCCAATTCTGTCCCCCCGGAGGCCCTCTTTGTTCCGTACAGTAACTAGGTTAAACAGTAACTTACGCATGGACGGCTGTGGCGGACACAGAAGTTCAACCCTGGGAAAGGAAACTCTGAGGAAAACACGGGCAGGAAGGGCCAGGCTACCCGAGCCGTGATTGACCAAAAGAGCCAAATTTGGACACCAGAATGGAAGTATTTCCGGACCGCCAGATTACAATTCGGGTATTGATTGTGACGTTCCTGTGACAATCTATCGTAACACCTGCCGTCACAGATACACGAGCCCGGTCGCATGAGCCAAACTTCAGAGCCAAAACTTTCACGAAGTACAGTAGGTAGATATCAATATCTGTATGTAGTTCAATAGTGACTGCCTGGAATTATACGGATAGTAAAAATTAGACATCCAGGACCCCTGTGACGCTGGAGCGAGAAAAGATTCTTGTTCCGCAGTGTATCTTCTATTCCGGTTGACGGCTGTTCGCGAAGCCATCTCTCTATCAACTCGATGTATTATTGACCTCGCAATAGATAGCATTCAATTGAAGAGGCAGAGAATAATCCACACATGTTTTTATACGATAATAGTTCTATTTGATGAACTTATCCCCAATTGTGTTACAGGTACCTGTGAGGCGTTTCGGCACTCCGCCTGATTTCGGCACCTCATTTACACGTTACCTGTAGGAATTTGGCAATTTCGTTGGTCACTGAAGTTGCAGACTAAGTAGAGAATCGAGTACTGTATGATTTAATTCTTTTTTCATTTTCGTATACCCACAATTGTCTGATGACCGAGACATAGGCGCAAAAAATAAATAAGACAACTGTGCGCGCGTTTCCTTTCATATTCTTCCCCAGTTACCCTTCAAACTTTCTTTGCCCCTACCGAAAATGACACGAGATCTCAACCACCTTCAATACTTCTTCGGCCAGGTCGTTGGCGATCCTTTACACCGGACTCAGTGCCTGTGGGCCAAATGTGACAAGATCGTCTCTAAAGCGTCTCGGACGAATGCCGCCATTGTGCTGATGATTCAACGGCGAAACCCGGCTGATTCACTGGAGCACGTTGTTCGTTCGGCGACACGAAGTATGCTCTGCAGGAGTTGTAGGCAAAACTGGAAACGACGCACAGCTTGCACCCGGGACTATCTAGCTTTGTTGTCCGCACGAACTTATCGCGGAGAGCGGACGAAGTCGCAAATACCACCTCAATGCATACACATGTGCTCCTTGCCATGTCAAGATCACGATCCAAGATCCAACTCATGTATATGATCACTGTCACTACAAGATTTACCATGAGGCTCGCTGGCATGCGTACGGCGATATAAAGAAAGCTTGGCGTGGAAAATGGTGGATCGTTCCACATGACAAGCTGCTCTGCGATGCCAGGCTAATCTCGACTGACATTTGTGACGATCATCATACCAGCAACGGACAGAATATTAGGAATGTGGAAGACAAGTTGACTCTTTGCTTCTGCATGAAATATCTCCTCGATGCAAAAGCCTCTGTAAAGAAACATCTATTCGTTTCGAGGGACACCACTATCCTGAATCAGAAAAACCCATGAAGTGGGGAACTTGGAATTGTCCGTCACAGGAACGATTAGGAAAGGAACAATGACGCTGGTACAACGGTACAACGCAGTAAAAGTTGAGCCTGTCTCAGAATGAGGACTAAAGAAACAGGTCAAACACGGAAAGAGCAATGTGTAGATAAGATGATATCCCATCATGAAATACCCAATCACTTTCCAATTATGGATCACTTTCCAATTATGGATCACTTTCCAATTATGGATCATGTCGTTTGATCAACAGAAACCAGCGGGGCACGGAGCGTGTTCCAAACTCCAGAGTATTGATACCAAACCGTGTTCCCCCAGCCCGCTCAAGATTGAGGTACTTTGGAAGACAACAGCGGCAAAGTTAATCAAGTGGGCGGCTACTAAAATAAGCTCGATTTCAAATAAGATTCCGTTATCTCACGGATACATTGTTTCACTGCCACCCCAGATTACGTTGATCTGTTGGCATATTTCATCCGTCTCTAACTTTGTGTGGCAATTTCTGCTACGCTACCCAACCAGGCGTTGTCTGCGAATTTAGCTTATAATTCTGGGTAATGAGATCCCTTTGATCAATACCTACATGAGAATATATATTACATTGTTCACTCTAAATCCTTGTCATTCGTTCGAAATTCTCAAGTTCATTGTCTGCTGATAAAGGATGGGTTTGTACAGCCCGTTACATACAAAGCGCACTGAACATGCACTGTATGAATTTGTAGCTAGTGGTGTACATAGTGGTATGAATTTCGAATGTCAGAGGATGTGCTTGAGACCTAAGGGTATCTCAATCCACTCGGGACCTCACGGTACAACCAAAAAGGGTAGGTTTATATCAGAAAGTGGCAAGGAATGAATTGCATCAATGAAGAGGATCCATCCCTGGCGCTCCTACATCACCAATGGGGCAATCGCGAAGTTGCGCAGCACCTATGACTGCATCAAGGTATTCACCGGACTGGAAGACGAACTCAGCATGACAAGGGATTCGGGAATACAATCACCTTGAAACCAAACACAGTAGGAATATTGTGTCTGCAGACAGGCCGACCGGCTGTATGGGTTCACTCGCCTGGTAGCTTTATTGAAGGTAGTGGGATGTTGCTGCCGCGGCTTTGAGCTGTTTAGGCAGGCTATTAGGCTGGAAAAATATGATTGTTCTTTCAGCAGAAATGAAGAGAACCGAATTATGTCAACTTAATCGAATGAGCGTGACTGGACACAAAGAATGTTTTTACGTTAGTTAAAGTGGCCAGGAGGAATCTGCGGTTCGCGGGATACTCTCCTGGCCAGCCTTCCTAGAAATCCACATCTGCGATTCCGCGTTGGGACGTAGGATGGGCACGGCTAACCTGAAACGTTCTGCTATTAGGACGTGTCCACATGGCCGCTGTACATGGATGCCGCCGGCCATATATTCGCCCATTCCTATTATCTTACATCTCCAAGACCATTGCCTGAGAATCATTACTCGGTCCTCCGAGCAAAGGCGGAATACAGGGAATGATAGAAGCCCTTGAGAACCGTGACCTTTAATTTAAGCTATATTTGACCCCACTGACCCGGCTCATAGCGGGCAATTGGACTGTCGTACGGCACATGCCTAAGCCCCAGTATTTCGGGGTCGACTACTCATATCTCTGATGGCAGGTCCATCTGCCGCAGACCTTGGTCTGTGGTGACCAGTCCTCTGGGGAGCTCCTTTGGTAAGTGAGATTTATTCGTTCATAGTCTGGACGACCGCACCTGCGGTTGTTGACCACTGTCAGTGTCCCGCAACGGGCTCATCGGGACGGGGCTGGTTGTTCTCGTGAATCGTGCCGATATCACTTCGCCAAGCCGGACGGTCGGCAAGGATGACACGGTCAACGCTCACTACGTTCGGTTGGAGGCCTTTGTTGGGGCACCACTATCTTCACATCTGGGTCTATGAAATGATTGCAGAGAGGTATATCGGGCTGGATGGCTGGTCATATGCAAAATGGAAATCCGAGAGGGAGCCTGCCTCGTGTCGTATCGACCTAGACAAATGATGCAGCAAAATTACTGACGGCAACGTCTACTTTACATCAGCATCGTGGGTTTGGAGCCATCAATTCACGTAGACTTCAAGCAGAACGTCTTTTCGTTCCAACCAAATCTGCGCCTCAGATGCCTGCCAATGTTCCGAGCGGCGCGAAATTCATATTTCGAGTGTGGGTGAGGACGGTGTACCTGAATCCTCTGCCGAGTTTTATCATGAATAAATCCCACCGAGGAGCCAGAGGTGGATTCGGACCAGAAGCCAGCTTCCGTCATTGCAGACTTGAAATCTCTCCAGGGGAGCTGCCCCGAGAGCCCACCTTCCCATCTGTGAGGAAGTAGCATTCGAAACACCTGTAGAGATTCATGCGTCACGCTAATCTTTGGGGTTGGAGTGCCGTCTTCCGGTGGCGGTATGGGGAATTCTGACGAAGGCGCTTGCGCAGGCCCCCGTGTTTTGGCCTTCTCGGGTTGCGTATTACCTGTTTGGCTTTTGCTAGGTCTCTGTTGTGTACGATGTGCGAGCTCGAAATCAATCACATCCTGTGAAACCTGAGGAACTTGAGGAGCCCTGGGTTCTCGACGACTCATGGGCTCCACCCAGTTGGGAGTACGATATGGTACCCAAGTTGCATCAAAGGGCAGTTCCATCTGTTTCAGGTGGTCCAAGATCTCACGATCCGCCTCCCCCCAAAATTTATCGAGGTTGGCTTCTGCACGTTGCATTGCATTCGTCCGCTTGCGTGAGGGTTTCTGGTTCACCGGATAGGCAAATCGCTCTTCCACGGGCGCGCCTGACGTAGCCAAATCCGACTGGTTCCACGCCTTGTCTGGCAACAGCCATCTCGCCTTAGCTTTCTCCCAGTCTTGACGGAAAGACGCTTCTTTTCGCTCGAGTGCGCTTCTAATGTTTCTGGCCCACGGCTGGAAAGCAAAGATCTCGCGCACGCACTCTGCCAGTGCAGATAAGTCCGAAATGGTCCTCATCACCAGTGGTGACAGGAGGCTGACGGTCGCCTGATCTTTCAAAAGAACGGTATCGAATAGATCCATGAGTGTGGGGAGACCAACGTCTTTCCTAATGTCTTTATTCATGAGCATCGCGACGGTTCTGATGATTCCGACTTTGGTTGTGTCTTCGCAAGCTTGCTGAGTAGGGAGGAACTGAAGCTTTCCGTCTGGGGTTATCGTCTTTCCGAACGAATCTCGCATCATAGGTGATGGTGGCAAGACTTCCACAAAGGTTGCGAAGGGCATTTCAAACATCAGCTCCAGCAACCACACCATGTTGGCAAGTGCATCCCCCAAGGGCTGGGAGAGGGCTTCGTGAGGCTCCAAACCTACCCCATGGTCGGCCATCAACCGAGATAGGGCCTGTAGCTGCACCTTCACCGCGGTCCACATTCCCAGGGCAGCATAAGCTTCACGTATCACCACGCGTATGGTGTGATTCCATGATTCCTTTACTTGGACTGGTCGGGCGGAGGGTGACCAGGCCACGTGCTCCATCGCGTGATCCTTTCTCTCACGGAGCATGTCGGCAAAATACCTGGGATCCTCCCGCAGTGCGCGCATGTGGTCCTCCGCTGCATCCAGCTGTGCGTCAACGAAATGGAGTAGAGAGTGCGCATCGAAGTGCACGGGCGACCGATAAAACGAGTGCCTCCTGACGCCCAACAATGCGTTCGCGTTCCGCTGTTCGGGGGACGACTTCGGTACACTTTCCTCGGGCATGTCCTTGCATAACGAGGTTGCAACGTCAGCCAGAAAACGGTACAGGCGCTGTTGCCTCTCTAGAACAAGAAGCCCATCGCCAGCATTCATCCGGATTTGCCTCGTCTTTGCGCAATCCACGTCACGCTTCAGCAGCTCTCCGTACCGATTGCCAGCGTCATTCCAAAACACGACGTCGTAGGTTTCAGCCAAGTGATTTTCCTGCTGAATATTCGAGGTCATGACGCCAAATTCCACTGCCTCGCGGTCGGCGAAGAGGAAATTATAAGGTGGGTCATGGCAACGGGCGCTCAGGAAATCCAAAAGTGTGTTCTCATCCTTCAATGCCCGCAAGCTAATATCAGGCCACATGAATACCGCAGGGTTGTCGGAACTACCAACATAGCCGGTTCGGTTGTACTCCCAGAGATCAGGTCGTTGCAAAATAGGCATCTTTTGCCATGCTTCTTCAAGACGGTTCTGGCGTTTTTTAGTATTGTACTTCTTCCAACGGAACTCGATGGTCGAATAGTTCTCCATCAACAATTGCAGCCGAGCATAACTCTTTGTAATACTCTCTGATGACTGCAAGATCTTCTCACCGATCTCATCGCTGGTAATTGTCGACATTTTCCTCTTTTTGGGGGGCAGTGGATGACGTTGCTGATGGCAGTGGACAGTCAGGGGTCAGGGAACAGTCACGTCCGATTCGTCTGTCACGCGTGGATTTACTACCAAGTGAACAGTGAAAAGGGGAACGCTCGTTGGCAGCACACCCGCAGATGTGCGTGTTGATTCAGCAGCAATGACAATAACTAACACAGACCGCCACTGGTTATAGAGAGAGAGAGAGAGAACCACTAAAGGGGGTGGGGGGAAGGGGAAACTGGTTATTCAATACCGCCAATACCGTATTTTACAAGAGGGGTGTATTACCCGAATACTCTTTCCGACAACGGGCGGGATATATGACTAAAATTGCGTATGCGGGTGCTTGGATGCAACTATTCGAGAATCGAATACATTGCAAAAGATCATAAGCGGAAGTCTTGCCGTAAGAGACGAATTCAAAAGTGCCACTGAGTAAAGCAAGGGAAAGCCGAAGGGAAGCTGCGAGAAAGAGCCAAATTTGGACTCCGGAATAAAAGTATTTCCGTAACACCAGATTACAGTACAATACGGTGATGATTGTGACAAACCTGTGACAATCTGTGGTAACACCTGTCGTAACAGATGCATGAGTTCGGTCCCATGAAGTACCCAGACCCAGCTTCAGAGACACAACTTTCACGAAACATGGAAGGAGACATCAATATCTGCCTGAAATTATCCGTAACGTAAAAATCAGATATCCTGGACCCCTGTGACGCCGGAGCGAGAAATGATTTTTGTTCCACAGTGTACCTTAATTTCCCGTTGACGGAAGTTCGCGCAGCCCCCTCTGGATCAACTCGATGTATCATTGACCCAACAATAGAGAGCATTCAATTGGAGAGGCAGAGGATAATACACATGTAATTATATATAATAATAGTTCCTTTTCCTGTTGTTCCTTTTCCTGTTTTTATCTCCAATTGTGTTGCAGGTATCTCGGAGCCTTTTCAGCACACCGCCTTATTTCGGCACCTCATATATCCGTTAGCCTTGGCATGGACAGTCTTTTTGATCCGCCTTTCGGCGTAAGGGCATGACTAACACTTGATAACGTAACTTAGTTCCCGGTCAACCCAATAACCCCAAACCCCCATATTAAATGCGATTTTTCACAACTTCATATTTCAACCCATAAGGCGCATGGTATAGACTTAGGACAAATTCAGTTATTTTATCAGGCTGGAAATAGCTTGAGGTGTGATAACATTGATATATATACCTATATCGCTCTATTGGAGCGTATTTTGGTAATGTGGGTAAATTGTACTTTTATGAATATTTCATTTATCCTACGCTGTTTCTAATACTAAGGATTTACATATTAACGTCTATGTGAGGTGCCGAAATAAGGCGGTGTGCCGAAACTTCACGTTAATACCTTCATCTTAAACGAGGATTAGTTCATCAAATAATATTATTGTCGCACGAAACGTATTGTAGGTTATTCTTCATCCCTCTAGTTACATAAGTTCTACTTTGAAGTCAATAATACAACGTGCTGATTAGGGGTGGCTGCGCGAACAACCCTCACCCGTGATAGAATATAACACAGCGGAACTGGGATAATTTCTCGCTCGAGCGCCACAGGGGCCAAAAATGCCTAATTTTGAGATTACACATAATTCCAAACCTATATTATTAAAGTAACTACCAATATTGACATGTTCCTACCATACTGCGTGAGAACTGTCTCTCTAAAGTTCGGTCTTGGGTACTTCATGCGACCGCACTAGTACCTCTGTTACGATCAATGGTACGACGGATTGTCAGGAGATGTCACGATCAATACTGTATCGTAATTCGGTGTCACGGAAATACATTAATTCCGGGAGTCCAAATTTGGCTCAGTCGGTCAACCACGGCTCAGGTACTCTGGCTCTCCCCTTGCGCCCCATGTTTTCCTCGACCTTCCTTATGTACAACTCCCGTGTCCACCATAACCGTCCATGCGTACCACAGACCCAGCAACCTTAGCAATTGCTCGACTGATTGACTCAGCACATGGCCTAACCTGGTCTACTAAATCAGAAGTTTCGCACGTCCTAACATCTACACTCTGGCGCCGCGCGAACGGACGGCCATCAAAGGTAGAGAAGGCAGGCTGAGAACGTGATATTTTGACATCGCGGAAAGATTGGCAACCTAAAATATTGAGATTCACTGTGCCAGCAACCTCAATTCAGATCGTTATATTAGAAGATGATTGGATGGTGGGCGGCAAATAGGGCTCGGGTTGGCTGCTGGCTTCTGTGTTAGGGACTGCAATGACCTGCTTTCTAGCAGCATATTATTTCGATGTGGAATAAACCGCGTCTTGGATAAGCTGGATGTCGGTCCCCCCAAGGCCATTTGGCTCAACTGGTAGCTAGCGCTGCATGTTCTTGATCCATCCGAAGCGCGTGGATATCATGCAGAAAGCGGTACCCTAGTTATACGAGAGATGCCTGATATTACCCAGGACGGAAACCAAGCATGGCAACTTCTTTGGTATTTTTCGATTACTCAAGCCTCCGTTACAATATGAAACTCGCACTCTTTGCTCTTGCACTCCACCCAAAGATATCAGACCATTGAGCGGGGCGTCTCATAATATCTCCGCCTTCGTTTAATCAATTCGTTGAAACAACAAAAGATCTTCGATCGAATTGCAATCACACGACTGAGAAAAGCTCCGTAATAAAGAATGAACCTTTAATTCTCAGAAAGCTGAGAGTGCTTTTCGGTTGTACAACTCAACTTGTGTTGATAGAAAGCAACAAGACCTTCGACAGTAATACCAGTAATATTGGCAAGAAATTTTTTTCTCGAAGGCGAAAGATGAACCACATAATCTGCTACGTCAGATAATACTGTGCCCGCGAGGTCCAGAAAGGCAAACTCACCAAGTTGTTTTTGGACAACAGAAACTTGCTGCTGCCTCAACTCAACACGCCTTACGCGATGACGTTCCTGATCTTCCGAGCAACCCGATAGATCACAGTACTCTGAATCAAGGTCATATTCCTGTTGATCTAAGCGGTCCAATTCCGGAAAATGTTGTTCAATCTTTTCGACCAAAGACGCCATGCTCAACTCCGTCACACCTCTGCGTGATTGATAGCTACTATCATATACCCGGCAGTGATGAAGTGCGCGATGGTCTCAAATTGGCTCGTTATTCAAGGTTTGTGACAAGATCATGTATTTCTCTACAGAACTTGGCTTCGAGAAATTAGAAAGACAAAATTTGAAGAGTAGGCACTAGCGCGTATGTCATGTGACTCACAATCTACAGGAGTACATATCGGAATCCGAGAGTTCTTTTTGGCTCGGAAATAAAGGTTTTCCGAGCCGACACGTCAGCGTTGGGTTTAAGCGGACAAAGGTATCACCGCACTATCGCAGTACGTCTTGTTACAGGTCAATCGAAAAGAGATCAATTCGGTAACAAGGACGAGAGTATCAAGACTGGGGAAAGAAAGAAGGAAAGATCTATCTGGTGGGGGAAGTTGTTGATAAACCCAAACATCCCAATCCGGCCATGTTTGCTACTGACAACAGTCTTGATATCAAACCGAACAGTTCATCAACCATCCTTCCAATCCTACCGTCTTCAACCGTAACACGTTTATTGTAATATTTTCTTGTACGCGGGCCGCGTAGTTTATACCGTGAAGAACCGGCACGAAAGTCATGGACGTAGATTTCCGATAAACTTGATATGGTAATGAAGGCGTCACACGCCTCTACGCATAGGAAGCAAGGGAAAGCGAGAAGACATCTGGATTCTAGCATCTTGAAGGGAAAGAGGGAAACAACACATGAGAGGCCCAATATAGGCCTCAAGCGGAAACATCCAGCTAACGCTGGTCCTGGAAACATCCGCGGAGACAACCGCGAGAGGGAGGGAATCTCCGTCAGGTAATATATACCTTTTTACAGCCAGTTTAGCCACAGTGTATGCCGAATAGAGTACAAAGAAGCTGGAGGTGTTTAGACGCGCGAGTAGTGCATTCTCTATCGACGAGGGCTTCATGGGACTGAATTTCAATGTTATCACGGCGCCTCTACTTGAAGGTATTTATGTTAGCGATCCGGCCGTAATAAAGAGCAAATGTTGAGATGAATATCGGATGAAGTTAATTTGCCATCTACTGAAAGTGGTAGCTATTTAGCTATTGAGGAAAGTACCCCGCCGATATTCCGGCACGGTTACTCCATGTTACAGGTTATTCGAAAAGAGATCAATTCAGTACCAAGGGCGAAAGTATCAAAGGTAGAGAGAGAAAGAAAGAAGGATCGGTATCAGGGGGAATTTCTGTTGATATGTTTCACTATGATTGCTATGTTTGTTTGCTCACCAAACAATCCCCCATCTGCTCATCGCTAAGTCAATAGTCATGCCTCCGTCAACCGTCACACTTTGCACGCTACGGTATACATGTGTCACTTGTCTGGGTAGCTGGCCTGTTAGTCAAATAAGGGATAAAGCAAACAGTGCAATTGGCAAAATTGTTCCGTGAGGATCTCTAAAGAGGCATGAAGCGAGATGCTCTTTTAAGTATTGTAGACGATTCCATGTGGCGCGGGTGCATAGAGTGTGCAATATCTGAAATGCACAAGGAGAGTCGCATCCTCATTGTCCAGTCGCCCGAGTCTGTCTCAGCGCCGAGTAATTAGCCCATTATCTCGGCTTTCTTTAGAACAAACATCTCGTTCAAAGCCCCCTTAAATGCATATCCTTTCACAGGCTGGCTCAATGATATGTTATACTGTAACACTGTCTATAATGAAACTATTCTTCGGGTTTAACGGTGTAAGCAATCGAGTTTCAGAGGGAGAGTGTACTTAATATCTCTAACGTTATTCTAACGGGAGTGGGATCCAATCCTAATCTAGAATATCAAGGAATAGTTCCGATAAGCCCGCTAATTTTCGGGGTGGAATCGTATGTAGGGACTTCTCATGATCAGAATTGACTTAGAGAACAGAGCAAT